TTTATATCCATTAAAGCCAAACATATTTATTTCCAAGGTAAAAACAACATAGAAAATAATTATTTTTAACCAAACAACACATTTAGCCGCCTCACACTACACCAATGAACCACTATGTACTGCAGTCTCTTCCCAACCCGAATCCATTTGGGATTAACAGAGTTAACGAAGGCGGTGTTGGGAACAATACTGCACCCGTGCAGCCACTAATTAAAGCCGCTTCTAATGAGGGCTTGTTGATTGACACAGCAGGGTTGGCCTCTCCCCTCACCAGCATCGACTATGACAGCCACATGATGAGGCTGATGACAGGCTCCCATGCAGGCAGATGACAGGATGTCACTGTTAGACCACCACCATTCCTCGTCTCTGAACAATACCGTGCTCGTGTGGCACCTCGAGCTTTACAGAGTCTTGGATCATGGATGTTTACACAAAGGGTAATAATTATATATTGATTTGTAGGTGTTTACCCTCTTGAAGCATTCATTCTGTTCAAAGGTAACAAAGAAGTACATCAAACCTAAAGAATTTAAAAAATACAAGTAATAGTCCTGCATTCAAAGGTGTATTTAAGTAAAAGCAAATTGACTTTAAATTGTCAAATGTAACTGCTGTCGCTGTTTTATTATTAGATCTTTAAGTATTAGTAATCTATTATTAGATTGTTAAGTATTAAGTGAACCAAAATATTAAGTAATGAAAAACGTAATAATATTTTGGCTCATCAGCACCACACTATCATAAGTATCAGTACTTTGAAAAGATTGTGTAATGGTGGTCAACTGCAGGGATATCATTGGTTATATATCTATGTGCTATTCTAAGGGTTTCTTAGTTCCTCAGGAAACAATGAGATTTGTAAACAGCATATTGGATCCAGAAGGAGTGGAGGTCCGTCGAGCACGGGTTCTGTTTTCGGTTTATTTCCCTAGTTTTTTTTCGTTCTTGAAAAAATAAAATGACGTCTATATACTTGTAATATTCGAACTTTATTTTCGAAATCTTCATTTACGAAAATTCAATATGGCCCTTATACACCGCCTTTAGTATTAATGGAAGTGCAGCTAGGTTCAACTACTTTGTTTACTCGTAGTTTTGTTTAACAGGTCTCAGGATAAATCTAGGAACATTTATTTATTTTTCTTATATTTATACACAAGAATGAATATAGTACTAAATGTTATAGACCAATCTTTATGTTTGAGACGGTGTCCAGCCACCAGCTCTTTAAAATGGGCTTATTTGCTGTATATATTATTTGTGACAGACATGAATCATGCCAAAGAGGCCAAATTGACAATGAGGGTGAAGTGTTTGAGTTCATCGTGCACGAGGAACCATTGGCCCCCGTGGCAGGGCCTCTCTGTGCGGGCTTGAGAAGCCTCAAGGATGACAGGTGCTTTTCGTAATGCCTAACTGATGAGAGCCAATCAGTGTGCTCCCATTCTGCTGCTGTCTGTCTGTGTGTGTGTGTGTGTGTGTGTGTGTGTGTGTGTGTGTGTGTTTCTCTTCTCCTGTTGTTGTCATCTGGCCCGCTAAAGTAAAGATGAGCTTGACTGACGGATGCATCCGGGTTCACAGTTTATTGGTTTCATACGAGAGAGCCAGATATGCCAATTTAGACAGGGTAGTGACAAAAAAGTTCCCATCTAAATGGAATAATTTTACCACTGGGAATTCTCAGCTGGGAGAAGAGGGGGCGTTGGTGTGTATGTGCGGGTGTGTATTTCTTCTTTTTTCACATCTTTTAACAAGGCCTGAATGACAAACACATAGGACAGTTAAGGGCTGACAGAAACAGCAGCTTTTGATGCTTCACAGGGGATCCATGAAATAAACAATAGGCAGAGGAAACTGGGAAAAAAATGAATTATAACCGGTATGTGTGTTTCAGAGAGGGAGCGAGGCAGCAGCAGTGTGGTATGGCAGGATGAAACTGATGCATCATTAAATATACTGGAGTCAGAAGCTGGGGCAAAGCTCTCCTGACTTCCCAATTGTCCTTCTTATTTGTTTCACCCTTTTTCTCCCTCAGTCCTGCACACACGCATTAACTTAATGCAGGTCTTTTTATTGTAGATCCTGGCTCCTTAACAGGGATCATTATGTGTATGATTTCTGCATGCACCCACACACTGATACACACAAACAATATGTTCTGCAGCCACCATGTATTTCATATTTGAGAGCTGTAACCTATACGTGTGCCGTCCGTGGTCCTGACTGTTAATAAAACCAAATGTCAATACACCAGCCGCAGCAATGCTCCCCAGGAACCTTGAACTCTGAATCATTTTCTTATGGGGTTAATAATGAGGGGACACCGAGTCAACGACTGACATATAAAAGAATTTATTTCTCATGTGCACAAAAAGAATTGGAACAGAACTGAAACAGAACAATGATTGAGGCCACAAGGCTTTCTGTATAGATTTTCATCAGAAATCCTTTTTATGTCCATGACACATCTCCTGTATCATCTTTACAACGGCAGAAGACCCATCCCCTCAGAGGTGCTCCGCTTCCTAAAGCAATGACTTAGCCTGAATGACGTGGCGTGCACTCTGTCCCAGTGTTTCATCTTCAGATGTGTCGAGCTACATGTAGACAGAAATAGGCAAATCCCGTGTGCAATTTGTGGAGGATAGCTTCTCCTGAGGAGCAGGGCCGCAGTCTCTTTCTCTGTTTCTCTGGTTCCCTCCGCATTGACAGTTAACCCTGGTACCAGAGGATGTATTTGCTTGTGTAGAATTAAAGTAAACTTCATCTTGGACGCCTTGAGCTACAGAATTGTGTTGTATTGGCGTATGAGAAAAAGAGTAGAGCAGGAGGAGGGAGGAAAGATGGGTGACTAGGGAATAAGCTTGGATGTTTTTCTATACATGGGAGCACAGATGACTGTAATTTGAATTAACATAATGATCACAACATCTACTAACAGCAAACAGGACAATATCTTTGATTGTTGCCAAGGACTTTAGTTTGATCACGTCGTGATTCAAGGGAATTTGTGAAATTAGAGAGGAACCATTTCACACTGAAGGTCGTTTGTACCTCTTAACGTTTATGCTGTTTTTCACAGGGAGTACTTGTTCAGAGCCCAACGACAAAAGATGATACAGAAAGCCATTTAACTCATTGCATAGTGACATAAAACATCATCATGACAACATCATGAAAATAAAATAAAATGACAAAGACAGTCTAAGTGAAGTTAGAATCTGAAACCTGCTACTGACGTAGCCACAGGTTAAATAGTAGTTGCGCGTTTCATCCGAGCGCAACATTACATTAAGACACAAATGTAATGCATGTTTTTTTCAGTCTGTATATCTACAAAGGGAGCCAGTACATTAGTATCATACTGCCATGGTGTGTGTGATATTATTTACAGAGAAGAATTGTCTTCACATTATTCACAAATCATTCTACAAAGCAGCATTTTGTTGCAACTGTTGGAATATTGAGTCACTGAATTTCACCGTTGTCATTACAGTCATATGCATCATGTTGTTCGCCTGTTGAAGAGTCACGACATACATGTTCAGTGTTGACTACTTATTCAGAAGATAATACTGTTTTACTTATGCATACATATACTGTAAATAAAATATTAAATATCAAACTAAGTCTTTGGCAAATGTAGTTAAAGGTACATTCACAAAATATAAAAAAAAAAAGAAAAGAAAAGCAAACTGAATCAGTATTTTCTTTCTGTCCCTATGGAGAGTTGAAGGTAACTCGAGGAGGCCGGTGGATATGTGTTTGAAAAGGCAGTTATTTCCATTGAACAGGCATGAATTTAAGTTGAAAAAACTGGGTTGTAAGGCAATTGTTGAAGCTCATGTACAATTGGCTCGCTCAACTGCGCACAGCTTTCTAAACTGTGTAGGCATCTAGTGGTATGGATGAAGTAGAACCAAGGAGAATTCAATGGATTTGTTCATGCAGCCAAAGAGCGATGGTTTACAATGACTTCGGGAAATTGAGATCATCACTTTTATTCTGTAAAAGACAAAAAACCCATCTGTCCGTCCGTCTGTCTGTTATGCCTTAATATTTCAAACAGAAAGCTAATTCAACTTAAATGTGTGTGACTGTTTCAAAGGAATCCAATAAGCTGAGTTTATAGTGCAAAAAAAGAGCGAATGACGATCATGCATTGACACGACTGCAAAATGAGGGAAATGAGAACTGCTCTGAAAAATCTTTGATACCTTTTGTACATTAAAAAATAGTGACAGACAAAATAATCTAAAGTATTCAAAAATTCTCGCAAGACCATTTTTAAATCCATGGTCACTGCCGTTTTAATACTTTGAAAACAGGATTTACATTTTTACATCTGATTGTGTGCCACAGGGAGCGAGATGTTGCCAGTGGTCTGTACAGGGTCAGTGAACGTTGTAGGACATGCTGTTTATCTGATAACGTACTGTAGGTGGAGAAAATGGGAGCAGAAGATGTCGTCAAAATACCAGAGTAAAGCCTGCCCTACATTGTGGAGCCAGGGTCTCATTAAGTGTCAGAGGGGCCCCACAACACTGGTTCAAGTCACTGCATCGTCAAGCTATGGGACCATTGTCATCTCCCCTGGACTTCTCTCTTTAGAGCAGAAAAATACTGCAGTTCATTACGTAAAGGAATGTGAGGATCCATGAATAAAATAACAACAACAACAGCAACAAAGAAACAAAAAATAAAAACCCACAACATTGTTTTTTCCACATTGTATTCTTCA